GCAGGGAAGTCCGGCGCCCACAGGCGGCCGTGGCCTCTCGCTGCCCTGGGGGCCTCCCCCGGGTCCGTGGAAGCCCTGGGGGCGCGCGGGGGGAGGCCGCCCTTCCGCCGCCCCGGCGGGTGGCTGTTGTTGGCTTGCTGGCTCTGGTTGCCCGCGCGCTGCCCCGGCCGCTCCCCCGGCGCCGGCGAGCTGCGGTGCCTGCAGATGTCGGCCTTCGCCAACCGCAGCTGGGCGCGCTCCGACGGCCTGGGGCTGGTCGAGGGGCTGCGCGCCTACCGCTGGGGCGGCGCCTCGGACGCCGTGCGCTTCCTCAAGCCCTGGGCCCGGGGCTCGTGGGGCCAGCGGCAGTGGGACGACCTGCAGCGCCTGTTCCGCGTGTACCGCAGGAGCTTCACCCGCGACGTGCAGGAGTTCGTCAAAATGCTGCGCTTGGACTGTGAGCTGGACGACGGCCCCCCGGGGCCGGACCCCCATCCCCCTCCCTCCCCCACGGGGCCGCCGTCGCCCCCTCCTCCCTCCCCCCGGGGCCCGGCGTCCCCCCTACCCCCCCCCCCCGGGGCCGGCGTCCCCCCCTACCCCCGGGGCTCCCCGCTTGCGCCTCCCGGTCCGGGTTCCCGGGATCCTGCGCGCTCCCTGCCTCTGACCCTCACAGGGAGCGCGCTGCCCCAGACTCCGGGTCCCCGGAGAGACCCCGCACGCCTGCCCCGCTTCCCTCTAACCCTTTCGGCCCTCCTTCTCCGCGTCTTCCCAGATCCCTTTGAGATCCAAGTGTCCGCTGGCTGTGAGGTTCTCCCCGGGAACACCTCGCAAAGCTTCTTCCACGTGGCCTTCCAAGGACAGGAGATCCTCCGTTTCCAAGGCACTTCTTGGGTGCCCGCCTCAAGTGCGCCGGTCTGGGCAGACAGGGCCTCCAGGAAGCTCAACGAGGACCAGGGGACCCGGAAAACGCTACAGTTGCTTCTCAATGACACCTGCCCCCTGTTTGTCAGGGACGTCCTCGAGGCAGGGAAGTCGGAGCTGGAGAAGCAAGGTGAGCCCGCCCCCTCTCCCCCCTGCCCTCCTCTCCAGGGCTCCACCCGGGTCTTCCTTCCCGGAGCTCACAGCCCTTAGATCATCCTCGGGGTGTGGGTGGGAGTGGGGAGGCTCAGGAAGGCGGGGAGAAGGTGTGAGGGTGTTTATTCATCCCACAGACCTTCTCTGAGCGCCCTTTGGGTTCCGCGATCCGAATTAAATACACACTGAGGGTCAAACAGGCAATCTACCTGAGGGGAGGGGGAGAAGGCAGGTGAACAATTAAGGCAGTGGGACCCGTGTGACAGCCGAATGCAGGGCCCTCATGGGAGCCTGAGATGGGAGGGAGTCGGGTCCAGCGGCTTTCCTGGAGAAGCCAACACAAATGGATAGGTCATGACAGACTTCACCTCCAGAGGTGGAAACGTGGAATGCGGAGTTCCTGCCTTGAGACCTCCCCACTCCCGTTTCCTTGTTGGACACAGTGAAGCCCGAGGCCTGGCTGTCCACTGGCCCCAGTCCCGGTCCTGGCCGTCTGCTCCTTGTGTGCCATGTGTCCGGCTTCTACCCAAAGCCAGTGTGGGTGACGTGGATGCGGGGTGAGCAGGAGCAGCCGGGCACCCGGCGCGGCGACGTCCTGCCCCACGCCGACGAGACGTGGTATCTTCGGGTGACCCTGGACGTGGCGGCCGGGGAGGCGGCCGGCCTGTCTTGCCGAGTGAGGCACAGCAGTCTAGGAGGCCAGGACATGGTCCTCCACTGGGGTGAGAAAGGGCTGGTGCCCCGCAGGGCACGGAGAAGAGGGTCCTCAGGCATAGAGGGAGGCACCGGCGGGGGGTGGGTTTGGACACACACAAGGATAGAGGAGTTTCCAAGATGAGCCCCCGCCCACCAGGAGGGTCGGAAGGAGGGGATTCCAGATATAGGAAGGAGGGGAACAGTCGGAACTCAAAAAGGATTGAGACCAATGTTCCACATACAGGAAGAAAGAGAGACCAAAGACCGGAAGGTCCAGAAGTAGGTGGTAAATAAAGAGTCTCAGAGGAGTCATCCCCAGGAGACCACAGCGGGGTGGGGGGGGGGGGGCACAAGGGAGCGGCAGGTCCTGAGAGCTTCCTGACTGTGCACAGCGTGGTGTCCACTTGTCCCCGGCTCCTTTGAAACGGGTGCCCTTCTTGTAATTTCATAGTTGAAGACGTGGAGACTGAGCTGGGTCAGGTTCATTGTCTCATGGTGGGAGGTGGAAGACCGGATCTAGACTGAGGTCCCGGCTACAGAGCGGTCGCCCTTCCCCTGTGTGCCGTCCCGCCGTGCGCTGGAGCGAAGGGGTCGGGGTGCCCAGTCCCTGAGATGACATGGGGTCTCCAGACTGCAGAGGAAGGGACATGGGCGCCCGTGTGGGCCACCTGGCACCTTCACACGGGCTTAGACCGCGGGCCTTGGGATAGGGAGGGGTCCTGTGCTGAGAGCCTGTGTTCCCCACGCAGGGTCCCCCACGGGGCTGATCGCCGTGGCCGTGCTGGTGTCCCTTGTGATCACTGGGTGCGTTGGATACTTAACCTTCAAGAGGCGCTGGTAGGTCTCCCCTTCCCGACCCCTCCTTCCCTCAGCCTCTGCCCGTTTCTTCTCTCCTCCAGCCCCTCTCCCCTTTTCCTTAATGCGCTCTCCCTTCCTATGCTCTGGCAGCTCCTATCAAAACATCCTGTGACTGTGCTTACAGCACCTGTTGGCCTGGGACTCAGGACCCCAAGTTCCCAGGACAGCAGGTCAGCCGCTGAGGGTGAACGAGAGGTGCCCTGAAGAAGCAGGCGGTTGTCACAAGGCTGCTCTCATCACATCCTTTCGACATTTCATCTAAGAAGATTTAAGTTCTTTTCCACTGTCCTGCAAGTTTCTAAGCCCAAGTGGTTCTACAAAAAGAGAAGTGCGGACTTCCAGGCACAAGCCGTTGCGGGCCGGGGCGGGAGGGAGTGGGTGCTCCTTGGTTGTTTGCACGGTAGGATCGGGAGTGAATCAATCAGGAAGTGCTTGGTCCAGCTTCTTGTTGTCAAGAATAAAGGAAGACGGACCAGAAAACGAATGAAGGAATGAAGGAATGAATGAAGACCCTGGGCTTGGCTATAGCCCACACTTTTCAAGAAAAGGGCACCTTTCTTGAAAGGGGATTTTTGTGTGAGCCTACCTGATGTTCAAATGTGCGCTCAAACTGTTGCAAGATATTCGGGACACCCCAGACACGTCTTTGCTGGTTGCTGGCAATGTGGGGGGCTCCTCGTTTGTGTCTCTTTTGGAAAGAAGTTTGTCCTGAATGTCGTATGGGTAGTTTTAGGGCGTGGTCTCGTATGTGAATTTGGATTTATAAAGGGGGATGTTTTCTCTTTAAAAGAAAGTTAGCTGATGGGAAAAGCAGAAGTTTGCCAAGCTTTTATTTGCCGCAACTGGCTTATAAAGGAGAAATCGTAGTGGATGTGTGTTGCGTAGATAAAAAGTTACTCTGGGTAGGGATATTTGTCTCAAGGGGCCAGTTGCTTTTTTCACATTGGAAGAGGGTCACGGGGGTGTCTCCCCAAATAGCCTCTTCTGCTTACGGCCATTAGATGAGACGGTGCTCAGGAAGGGGTGAACCCACTGCGCAGGTGTAAGCTGCACTGATCACCGCCCAGCTGGCTGCTCTGTTCCTGGTCTGACCCTTGAGCGTCCAGAGGAAGTGGGACAACACGGTTGCTGGAGAGTCTTTGCCTGAGAAAATGAAGATTTGGCGTCTTGTGTGCTGAACTCTCCGGTTGAGCCAGGATGTGGGTTTAGCTCTTGCTCCTGAAGCCGTGGTTCCCAGTTGTGGTCTCCTGACCGGCGGCCTCGGCACCACTGGGAACTTGCACGTTATTCTAGACCTCACCCCAGACCTACAGAATGAGAAATGGGGGTGCTCTCCCAACCCCGGAAGCTGTGTTTTAACAAGCCCTCAGATGATTCTGATGTTCAGCGAAGGTTAGAGAGCCGCTGTGCTCAGGCTTTGGGTAACGCTGTGCTCAGGCTTTGGGTAAAGCTGGCTAACGCTTTGGGTAACGCTGTGGGTAACATTTCTCAGAAATGCCAAGTGAAAATATCGGCCTGGGGTTAGTCAGGGAGGGCTTCCTGGAAGGGGAGTTTGGCGCAGGACTCGTAGAGGCAATGAGGTGAACCAGCAGATGCCCTGGGTCGGGAGACCAGGGTTCTAGCCTCAGACTCCGTTTCCTGCTGTGTCAGACGGAACCAGGAGGCAGAACCTCAGTCGGGCCCCGAATGTGCCAGGGCCTTGGTCTTGGACCGCCAGCCTCCAGCCCGTGAGAGATACATTTCTGCTGTTTCTAAGCCACCCCTTCTGTGGCCTTTTGTTACAACAGCTCGAGTGAGTGGAGACAGATTATGCCACAGGGTAAGGAGCAAATGTGTGCAAATGTGCGGTGGTATTATGGTGCCTTCAAACCTTGGCCGTGTTACTACTGCCTTTGGTGTGACAGTGGCCTCAGGCCATTTGGTTCAGCTTAACTTTCAGCCATGTTAGGCCGCCAACGCCTCGCACTGGCCTTCCTCCTTCTTGGGGCCTGCGTGTTCAAGCCCCTTCTGACATCAAGCCCCTCTGAAATGCTTCAGTGTGAATTTACGGTAACCCTGGTTTGTTTTTAAGCGACCGATTTATTATTGTGGAAATAAAGGCCTGTCTTTGAGAAAATCTGTCCTGCTTTCCAATCCTCAGTTTATTTATTATGGTTATTTTTATTTTTTTAATGTTTATTTATTTTTGAGCGAGAGACAGAGCGCGAGCAGGGGAGGAAGAGAGAGAGAGGGAGACGCCGAATCCGAAGCGGGCTCCAGGCTCCGAGCTGTTGGCACAGAGCCTGATGCGCAGCTCGAACTCATGAGCCGTGAGATCATGACCTGAGCTGAAGTCAGACACTTAACCCACTGAGCCACCAGGCGCCCCTCCGATCCTCAGTTTAAAACATCTCCAGAAACGCGGAAGGATTCATTCTCCCACGGGGTTGATGTTCTCTCTGTGAATATCGTGCTCCTGGCTGAGTGCGGTGCTGTTCGTCACTTTCTTGTCGCTGGGCTCCAGAACCATCCTTCGTCTGTGCTGGGGGATGATGGGTGGAATCCCTCCGATCACTTCTTTGAAGTGAGCGGCAGAGTTTTCAGTAGAGGGCCCTGGAGAGACACTGGTGGAGGAAGACCCTCTGCAGGTTCGAGCTACTGTGTGGCCTGGTGGGTCTGCAGAACGGGCGCAAAGGCACCCCGCGTGCCACTGCCCCAGCCGCCTGCCCAGAGCTCACGGGCACTGGGGGACCTCGCAGCCTCAGCCTGGGGATGACCTTCCCAGACCCTCTTGATGTGGACACTCCCAGGTGCCACTGGCACTCCCTGCGCCTCCTGGCGTCCCCATACCCACCGCAGACACTTGTATGTGCTTAGTCCCCCTGCCGCCTGGAGGTCCCCACTGAGCCGCACTGTCGCCAAGCCCCGGGCCGAGGTCTGGAGAGCTGCTTCCAACTTGTCCAGTGACTGCAGGCCAGCTCTGGCCCGAAGAAGCCAGCGAACTTCTCTGCCACCCACGGAGCTGAACTGCACCTTCTCCGATGAGGTCTGCACTGCAGCCTCTGCGGAGGAGGCTCACCTCTCCGGGTGTATTCTTCTTCTTCGGATATTCTCCCCGGCCCTGGGGTCCTGTGTAGAGTTTCCTTTTATCTTATAGTTATTTTCTTATAGTTTATTAATTCGACTGGACTCCCGTTTGGCTCACTGATTGGTTTCTATTTCCTCATTGGACTCAGGTGGACGCACGTGGGTGTATCTGCGACCGGAGAGAGGAATCGGCCAGCTCTCCGAGGCTGTCACTCGAATTCACTCTTGCTCTTGGGTCTACGGCACAGCGACGAGCCACTTGGCGTTAACTTTTCGTCCTGGGGCTTCGATCTGATGTTCTGTGCCAGGACATCCTCTGTGCCAGGCTTCGAGGCGTGCTGTTAAGAAACCAGGACAGGTGTAAACGGGGACCAACTTTTTGGCCATTTACTGCCTCCTGTGTGTGCTGTGCCCAGTTGTAGCCCTGACTCCCCTCCTCGGTGCCTCCTCTTGGCGTGGCCTCTGTTCCAAGGCCACCGCACCCTCCCACACCAGCACGCGCTCCCCAGGCTCTCCCGTCACTTCGGTCCCGTGGCTGCTGAGCTCACTATCGTGGCTCAGCTTGGCTCCTGCTGTGCGATACAGCCCGGGAGAGGCTGTACCCTCTTCAACTTCTTTTTCTGAACTCGCGCTGGGTTTTTGCACGGTTTGCATTCTCTTGCTGATTTTATTGAACCATCCCTATAGGGATTCTTCCACATTTTTACCCCCCCCCCCCCCCCAGCTTTTCACCCTGCATATTACCACCTTTCCTATCTTCTGGAGAAAGTCAGGATTATCCGGGAACGGTTCCTACAGCTTTCCTCCTTCCTGGCTCGCAGGGTGAGTGATTTTCCACTCAACCCCGTCTGCAGAGAAATGTCTGTCTTTGCTAAGCCGGACCCTCGCATCGGGGCTTTCCTGGCGCAGCCTCCGGGCTCCCGCCCAGTGTCCCGCCACCCACAGGCTCCCCACCTTTAGCACCCCAGTGTTCACACACAGCCTGTGAAGGTTAAAAACAGCAACAAAAAACCTGGCCTGTGGGCAAAAAATTCTCGCGTTGAAAAATCCTGCAGTTATGTGTCTGGATGCTGTTTGACACTTTAACATATGTCTCTATTCCTTTCCTTGAAATCTTCTCTTCCGTTCTCCTTATCCGTGTCAGATACCCACTCGTTTTCCCTGAACGCAGAGGGAGAATGTGGCAGAGTAGAAAACAGAAATGCCTTCCGGGTCATGCTAGGTTATGTTTCCAAATGTTTAGTGATTGCAGACAGGATAGGATGTCAGTGCTTGAACAGAACATCCTGACAAAACAGGAAGATCTTCCCAAACTAGAACGGGATGTTCTCCCTGGTGGGGAGGCGTGGGAGGGGGGGCTCTAACTGCAGAAAGCACCTGTCCCAGGGAGGCGGCAGGGTCCCCGAGACAAGGACTAGGTGGCAGTACGGGGCAGCAGAGTGGGGGAAACTGACAAACGTCTCACGCTCCTGATTGTGGTGCAGAAATGGCAGAGAGGACACTGGATCCGAGAGGCTGAACAGGAAGTGAGGTGACTATCTGAGCAGTGATCTGTGCGGTTCTGTGAATGAGTACCAGGGGCTGTTGTGTTAGAGTCAGGACTCCAGGGATGGGGTGGGCGGGAAGACACCAGGGACAACTAAGGTTACGTCTCCCCCACCACAGACTGGGACGATGCTCGGACTGAGAAGTGACAGGTTAACCAGTAGAAACCAAAGAAAGTGGTATTTCCTGCACACTGAGCTTACAGTTGAAGATTTGCACCTGCTACCTGTGGGTGGCCAAGAATTGTCTGCATCCTGGATAAATTATAACGCTTGGCACTGGAGCCAAGGCATTTTGAGACACTCTCTGTGATGGTATTGGAACATTCGTCTGAAGTCTGGAGATGGACACAGGATTTAATACTGAGTCCTGAAAGGCCCCCGGGTTACGATGAGCTCCCTGTGAAATTCGGCCGCGGAGGGATGTGTAGCCTGTAAGTGGCCACACGGCGGTTGGCTGATAGAAGAAACCAAGGGTAAGAGCCTTGTGAGAACTTCCTGAGAAGATCGTTTCTGTTCGTTCCAGAAAAATAGCTCGAAATGGGAGAAAGTGGAAAATCACACGCATGGCCTGTATCTTGGATTTTAAATTTCAACAACACTAACCACAGCTACCATAGCAACGAGAGCCCAACATCTTCCTGGGGCTCGGAAATGTAAATCTGACTCCCAGGGAACACTTTTTGAAAGGCGTGAAGTCACACGTTCTGTGCTGCACTTTAGACTTTTAATGTCCTGGCTCGGGCGAAGGAGAGACAGGAAGCGTAGCTGGTGTCTCGAAGGGTTCTCGCCGTGTGATCAAAGGGCGCCGACACGGAGAATGTGCTTGTGCTCCGAGGTCTGGGCCAGGCCAGGGGAGCGAGCACACAGAACCAAGAGGGTTGAGATGTCCTGATGGCTTTGCAGCCTTCGGAAAACCAAGCCAAAGTCCCCTTCTGTCGGGCCTCAGAGCCAGGTGCCATGGCAGAGTGACCCATGTGTCCCTTGCAGATGTGACAAGAAGAGCTAAGCTTCGCTCTTTCCACAGATGATATGACCACATACCTGGAAAGCTCAAGCGTCCATATTTGACAAAGCAAAGAAGGACTTGAACCGGAAGGGGAGTTTCGTCGTGCAGACAAGGTAAGTGTATGAAAATCAAAGCTAATCTCTCTATTAGCAAGAACCAGCTAGAAATGCAAATGAGAACAAATAATGCACATTCCAAAAAGCGAGAGAAGTATATGAGTCTTAGGAATGTAGTTCACAAGAATGGCACATGCCCCAAATAAGGAAAAGCAGAGGGTCCTCTGAAGGACAAGAGACGTGTTCAGAATTAATGGAAAGGTGTACTCTATTCTTTGATATGATCAAATATCAACCCCCCAAGGGGGTTCATGTGAATTAAATGAAATTCTTAGTATTAAAACCGCCAAAAATGTGGGGAAAAAATGGTGCGGGTATAGGATCTGCCATACTGAATATTAAAACTCAGAGACCCCGTCCCCAAAACCCCGCGGTCCCCCCCCCCCCCCCCCCCGGCGACAGATGTTTAGGGGACAAAGTTGCATCAGGTGGAAAATAAGTCATAGAGATTCTGATGCGCCGTGCAGTGAATGCACACAGAGTCATCCAACTGGCTGAGAGACTAAGTTTCAATTACTCCAGACGCTAGGGGTGCCTGGTGGCTTAGTCGGTTGAGCAGCAGACTTTGGCTCAGGTCGTGATCCCTCCGTTCCTGAGTTCGAGGCCTGCATGGGGCTCTGTGCTGACAGCTCAGAGCCTGGAGCCTGCTTCCAATTCTGTGTCTCCCTCTCTCTCTGCCCCTCTCCCGCTTGCACTCTGTCTCTCTCTGGCTCTGTCTCTCTCTCAAAAATAAATGAACATTAAAAAATATATATTCCAACCACTAAAAAGCAATAATTATGTGACCTGATAGAGGCGCCAATTATTGCTACAGTGGCAATCATATTACAATATGTAAACGTTTCAAATTCACATGCATGCCTTAAATGTACACAGTGTTACATGTCAAACATATCTGAATCAAAATAAAATAAAAAATGAAAAGCTAATAAGAGACTACTCTGTTAATAACACTGACCAACAGTTGGATCAAGGAGTAAAACAGGAAGACGAGGAATAGCATGTGATCTCATGTCACTGCAGAAGAATGATCAGTGAGGGCTCGTCTCTCCATCTAGAAAAGAAGATAATATTGGAGCCCCACCTGACGGCATCAGTAAGTTCCAGACGTATTAAAGACTGAAGTTTGAAGGTTGTTTTTGTTTTTTTGTTTTACCAAAATAGGAACTGGGAAACTATAAAATAAAATATACACATGTTAAGGGGCGCCTGGGTGGCTCAGTCGGTTAAGCGTCGGACTTCAGCTCAGGTTATGCTCTCACAGTTCGTGGGTTTGAGCCTCGCGTCAGGTTCTGTGCTATCAGTGCGGAGTCCCCTTTGTATCCTCTGTCCCCTTCTCTCTCTGCCCCTCCCCCCTCTCAAGAATAAATAAATCTTTAAAAAAATACGCATCTTAAAAAAATTAATATTTTGTATGGCAACAGACAGCACAAATTGACCCTAGATTGGGGAACATACCTATATTGCATTTACGTACAGCACTGGCTAATATGATAGTAATGAGAAAAAGTCTCTTGCTCATTTATAAGAAAAAGCTCGGGGGGCCTGGGTGGCTCAGTCGGTTGAGCGTCCGACTTCAGCTCAGGTCATGATCTCACGGTCCGCGAGCGCGAGCCCCACGACGGGCTCTGTGCTGACAGCTCGGAGCCTGGAGCCTGCTTCCGATTCTGTGTCTCCCTCTCTCTCTCTGCCCCTCCTCCACTCGTGCTCTGTCTCAAAAATAAATAAAAACATTAAAAAAAAAAAAAAAAAAAGAAAGAAAAGCTCCACACTCAAACAGTAAGTGGGCTAAGATTGAACAGATAGCTCCTAAAGAAGTGGCTCATAAACATAAGAAAAGATAATCATCCTCATTAGTATTCATGGCAATGCAAATTACAGTAAAAAAAACCAAAACAAACGAGATACCATGCTCACCCGATTCACAACAATAAGGGAGCACAGCCCGTGATTTTTTTCAAAACAGCCTGTCGGAAAGCTATTTGACAAAATCTCTTCACGTGAAACATCCACAGGCCTCTCGACTCAGAAATCCTACTCTAGCGACGGCATTTTACGAAAATAAAAGTGCCAGAAAGTGAGGCTGTGCGTACAAGAAGGTGGTTCTCCCGGTAAGGATGTAGGAACGCTTGTATTTCGGTGACAAAAACCTGCCAACAGGCGGCCCTCGGGACCAGCTGTGGCTGCTGGAGGCAGAAACAGCCCGAAGAACACAGTTGGAGCAGACTTAGAGTTGATTTCTCTCACACGCTAGACATCCAGCGTCAGGCGCCCAAAGGGAGTCCCATGAAGTGAACAGGGACCTCCGTTCCCTCCAGCTCATCGCTGTCACTCGCTGTCACGCTTCTGTGTGGAATGCCGTGGTTTTTCCATCGTGAGAGTTTCGGGGGAGCCGGATGGAGGAAGGGGATACCTCCCTTCTCCCCACCTCCCGGTGACTTCACGGAAGAAAGACACAACCGACACAGCCGTTCTGGGTACGTGTTCCCGGGGCTCACGGCCACGTGCCAGGGAGGTGGGACAGGTGGCGGTTTGCTGGTGGTAAGGCGCCCACTACGTGTCAGGTGGATCTGGGGAGGCGGGAGTGGTGGCTGTGATGGGGTTTTGGCGTGGTGGTGGGGGTCTGCAGCCGACAGCCAAGAAAGAATTCTTGAGACGTTCTTTGGTGCAAAAAGGTGATTTTACTAAAGCACGGGGACAGGACCCCTGGGCGGGAAGGGCTGCACTGGGGTTGTGAGGAGTGACTCATTATATACTATGGAGTTGGGGGAAGGAAAGGCCAAAGGGAAGCCTCCAGAAGGACTTTCATCTGCTAAAGAGGACTCTTAGGACGCCAGGGGCCTTGCTGTGGTCAGGCTAAGGTTTGTTTCCCTCTAGTGAGGCATTAACATTAGGACTGTAGGGGCTTCCTGGAGAAACGTTACGCTCTGCATTTGCCTCAAGTATTTGTCAATGGGCTGCATGCAGGTCCTAAAGAAATTTAATTTTGCCTGCCATTTCCTTCTGCCTTTGTTCCCACATCACTGTGCAGGGGAGGGTGATGCTGGGGCTCCAGGAATCTGAGTCTGTAGGTTTCTGGAGATTGGGCTGTTGATGAGATTGCCTTCTTCGCGTAACTTACTGCGGCATTTGTAAACGGAGACCGATGGAGACTCAGACCTGGCATGACTGTGATCTCTCTCAGGTAGCCACTTGTTTTCTGTCCTTTCCTTTGCTCTTGGGCAGCCGGGAGTGTCTGGGGAATGTCACACATCCCACCTGGGGGCAAGGGTGTGCTGGCTCCTGCCGGGCCCTCAGCCTGCCCCGGGCTCCTGCACCGAGGACCAGAACGGAGGCTGCCGTGGTGGGGGTGAATGACGTCTCTTAAAGTCGCCTTGGAGGGGTCACGGCAGCTTTACGACGTTTTCGGAATCCATAGCCAACCCATTTCTCTTAGATATATCTTTCCTTTCTCCACCAGAACGATGCGATAAACACGTGTGTGCGGTTGAAGAGAACTTTTACAAGTGAAAGTTAAAACACGAGGTCCTAAGTGTTGTGTGGCAGTCCACTGGTCAGCTTTCCCCTCCCTACAGGGGACAGACCACATTGTACTTGGGCTTGAGGACATCCTCGAGTGAGGAGATAGGATAATAGCTTAACTTAACGCGGGCTGAAGCATCACGAAGACAGCAGGTGGCCCGGGACTCTGACGAGACCTCCGCGTCCTTTCCAGAGATGGCGCACGGCCTTCACTCTGGGTCATCACCCCCAAACGAGAGCTGCGGCCCTAACACGGGGGCTTCCTTTGCTACTTGGGAAACTCTGTGGCCCTTTCAAGGCTGGTCTTTAAGTTGTAGGCAGGGTGAGGGCGGCCCTTGGTCCGAGTGAATTGTGTGACCCTGCTGAAGTAACCCGCCAGAAGGCTCTGCCCGAGGCCCGGGGGCCTGGGGCACGTCTCCCGAGCTCTCCGATTCTCCCGGCTGCCACGCTGCCCATAAAACAGACCCTCCTCTGGGGCCTCCGAACTCCCAGTGTCTTCTCAACTCAGGGACACCGCCAGGCTCCCCAAGTTGCCCCCTCCTGGCTGCGCTTAGAAATTCTCCGCAAGGCCTGGGCCAGGGTGAGTGACTCACCTGCGTATGACCCCTGTCTCAGAGACCACCGGCTGACCCGGACAGGCGTCCAGCGTCCATCCCTGCGTCGGGCCACCGGGTAAGTCCTGCCTGGGGGAGGGGGTCCACTCGCGTGACCTGTGGAAGGCAGAAGGAAGTGAACTTCTCCTACTGTATATTCCCCACAAGCAGATAGATACGTCAGGGTTTCTGCACCTGCACTTCAGTCTCCATTCTGTGCATGTCTGTGTGCTCGCAGACGCCTCCTGACCCCGGTGTCCTGGGCCCTGGGGTACATCACCGTGACCTGGTCTTGAATTCGACAGACTAATGATCCCTCCATCCCCCAGTCACCACTGTGACTCAGTTGTACTAATCACTTTTTAATTTTCTTCAAAAAAAAAATTTTTTTTTAACATTTATTTATTTTTGAGAGGCAGAGAGAGGCAGAGCATGAGCAGGGGAGGGGGAGAGAGAGAGAGAGAGAGACAGAATCCGAAGCAGGCTCCAGGCTCTGAGCCGTCAGCACAGAGCCTGACGCGGGGCTCGAACTCATAAACGTGAGATCATGGCCTGAGCCGAAGTCGGCGCTTAACCGACTGAGCCACCCATGCGCCCCTAATTTTCTTTTTTTTTTAACTAAAAAAATCTTTTTTATTGTTTATTATTTTTGAGAGAGAGAGAGCAAGCAGGGGAGGGGCAGAGAGAGACAGAGAGAGAGACAGAATCCGAAGCAGGTTCCAGGCTCTGAGCGCTCAGGACAGAGCCTGACGTGGGACTCGAACTCACAGACCACGAGATCATGACCTGAACTGTAGTCGGCCGCCCAACCGACTGAGCCACCCAGGCGCCCCTCATTTTTAAATTTTCTGTATTTTATGACGTTTCACATCTTGAGGATCTTGCTGGCCAGGAGACACTGTCCCTCTAGGGCGGGCTGATTCCGAAACTAGCAAATGACTCCCCTAGGCGCTCACCGTTCATGTGGCACACCAGCCAGCCCACATCCCATGTCCCCAGCCACCCCCGTTCTCTGACTCAACGCCAAGCCAAGATCTCGCCCGTCCTTCACTGACCCAGGGCCAGGTACCAGCGACTGGAGACTCTCTTGCCGGCTGCAGCCCACCTGCCCCCCCTGAGCCGCTGAGCTGGCCCTGCCTCGCCTTTGCCCTGGAAACCACAGTCGAGGCTTGGGCCCTGCTTTCCCTCACTCCTGCCTCCTGGCTGAACTTTGCGCTCTCCCACGCGGACTCTTTCCTTGGAGTCCGTAGGTAATAAAACTCTTCTTTCGAAGACAGATGTCTGTGTCTGTCACCTTCCGCACCTGATCTCAGGAAAGCCTGGGACGAGTTCCCACGTCCGGGGAGTCACTTCTGCCGCTCTCGGCCCGCACGTGCTTCTTTCTTATCCAGCAATGTCACAACACCCTCTTGCCTGTGTTACACCTCTTACTGCACCAAACACCCCGGCTGTTTTCTCTTTCTTACCGGCCTGTTCCTGCAGCCACACGAGGGAGGCTCTGTAAGACAAATTGTCATAGCGCTATTAAAAGTCACGGGTGGGGGCGCCTGGGTGGCTCAGTCGGTTGGGCGTCTGACTTCGGCTCAGGTCATGATCTCGCTGTCCGTGGGTTCATGCCCCGCGTCGGGCTCTGTGCTGACGGCTCAGAGCCTGGAGCCTGTTTCGGATCCTGTGTCTCCCTCTTTCTCTGACCCTCCCCTGTTCATGCTCTCTCTGTCTGTCTCAAAAATAAATAAATGTTAAAAATTAAAAAAAAAAAAAAAAAGTCACGGGTGAAGGCAACCAAGTCTTGCTGGAGAGTGGGGAACATACAGGAGCACTTTGGTGGAAGTCCTGCCTGGTCAGGGAACATTGAGAACAGTGCTCGCCGTGAGGGGGCTTGGGTCTTAGGGCTCCAGACAAAGCTTCGCTTTTCTGGGTTAACCTAGAGGCACTAAGCCTCCACCCTGGAGTCTTTTAAAAAGCTTGGGATGACCAGAGTTCCTTAATGTTCAACAGGACAGGGAGTTGGGTCAGTTCATGGGGTAAAATCCACAGATCTTGAAAGTATTTGATGTTATGGAATTGGTCATTACGTGGATATTCGG